GTGTGAAAACTATGGAAATGGAATTGTCTTTTAAAAATAATTTTATATATACTGTTTTATATTTATATATACTGCTTTTAGATATTTTTATTAGAATATGCTTTTTTGCGAAGTTTTTTCTTGGTTTTGCTCTTGAGTTTTCCTTTGTGAAGCAAAGTTATACATGGTTAAATTTTTAATCCTTATGAATGTAATCACCTAAGCCAGCGGTTCCCAACCTGTGGGTCAGAACCCCTTTTGGGGTTGAACGACCATTTCACGGGGGTCGCCAAACAACGCAGTCCGCAGCAGGCAAATATTTAGAAAATGGATATAATAGAAAAATGTACAAAAAGGCATAACTCAAAGGAATGGAATAAAAAAGTTCTTTGAAGTACATGCAGGCACATTTGAGACAGATATTAAAAAGTAAAGACATAGAAATGGATTAAAATGAATTTAGTGCAGGAAAAAAAATAAAAAATAAATCAAAATGGATAGATTTAGTTCATATTAGCCCTCTTAACTTTTATCATTTCTGTCTGAAAACCAACAAAAATATTAAATTAACAGATCAGAACTATTATAGTGACATTTCATTTATATAGATCCTGAAATTGTGTTTCCTAAATTGATCTCCTGTGAAAAATAAATTTACTGGTACTTTAACCCACGGAATGGAAATGTGCTTTCAGCTATTATATCATTAATTGGCTCTGCTTGTTTGAGTAATATAGTATTAGCAACATATGAAGTGCAATTTGTTTTGAAATTAGATGCTTCACTTGCAATTTAGTTTTAGTGATGTAATTATGGGTTAGACAAAAAATGGTTTGCAATATCCGTTTCTAGCTTGAATTGCATCAAGGGTCTCCTTAAATGACAACGCATTAAACACCATTTGCTTTGTGCTATTTTTTAAAAAAGTGAAATATATCTTAGTTTATTTGTTTTGGCTTTAACCAGGTCTTGGATAAGTCCAGTATTTTCTGTTTTGCAGTTATAAATGATATACTGTATGTTCATGATATACTGTTAATGATATACTGTATGTTCATTTTAGGTGTAATTGTTCTCAGAGTGGTTCATATTCTGATCTGCTGTTTTTTTCTTCTCTCTTTAGAGCTGAGTTTTTATTGGTCTTGGGGTAAAAAAAATAATTTACCAAAATTGTAAGCCATATGATTTATTAAGGTCTTCAGTGTCCTAGCTGTAGTAAGCTAGATACTGTTATACAGTCTCTCCTGTGTTAGCGGTTCATCAAAAATATCTTCCCTTTGGCAAATAATAAACAAGGAGTTACAATTGCAACTTGAAAAAATCACCACTTGGGTATATAGTTGTCCCTATCAAAACTGGGAAACATATCTGTAGTGTGCTGTGAAAAGTTCTGGATTTTTTTACATTTTACAAGGCAATAAAGTGAATTGGAATGGATTAACCAGAAAAACCACATACAGAAACTCAAATGCAGACAAGTTTACAAGTTGCCTCCAATTTTGTATTTGACAACTGTGAATGCAATGATAGCCATGATCCTGCCCACCATTTATACAGTCAGTATAAGATTATATGGACCCTGGTCATTCCAGCTGGCCTTTCAGGGACCACAAGAAAGGACCACTGTGAGTTAAAACCCTTTGCCTACCCCTTATATCACTTGTACTAACCACTGCCCGAGAACTGAGACAATGTTTTATTAATGCACCATAAATACGTCAATGCTATCCATAGTGGGATAGTGGTTACTAGGTAAGTCAAGGCATAATAATATTGATACACAAAAGCAAGACCTGAAATAAGATTTGCCATCATTTCTAACTCTCTGCAGTTTAAATGCAGTTTTCTTTCACTACGTTATAGGGCTACTTCTGTTGTACTTGACATTCCTTTAGGAAGATGAGCAACAGTCATGCCTAATGCCAGGAAAATCCTCGTTCAGGTTTATAGTGCTGAAGCGTTCTTATTGTTGAAAGTAGTCTTCTACCATTTCTTTAAAGAAGTATCTTGATCATGTCTAAGCACTACAGCAGGAGTCTTCAAACATGGCCCTTTTATGACTTGTGGACTTCAACTCCCAGAATTCTTCAGCCAGCGTGCCTGGCTGAAGAATTCTGGGAGTTGAAGTCCACAAGTCATAAAAGGACCAAGTTTGAAGACCCCTGCACTCCAGGATGACCATTTTTAAATATATACTTACTATGTTTTATTAATGGAAATAAAATACAAAAGAAAAAAAAACATACATCCAACAGTAACAACAACAAAAAAAGAAGAAAAAAATATGTACAAAAAGGGAAAAAAGGAAAAAAATGACTCAAACATCTAACATTAAACATAAAAAAAAATTACCCAGCCTGGCTGGATGCTGAATTTTTTTAAAAAACAAAAACAAAAACCTGATAAATTATCCTCCCATTACATAATGGGTCTGAAAATAGTTATAAACTTTCTTCCCCCCCCCCAAGTTTTTTATTAATTTTCCAATATTACATTTACATATTTGAAAAGTAGCGTAGCGGTTGAGCACCATAATTCCATTACATTTGAATATCATCAATACAAATCTCAAAATATTACAACAACTAATTCCCTCTTTCCCTCATAACATCTACTGTCATATTCAGATCAATACAGTTCTTATTCTATCAATCAAACAAAAAATACCTTTCTAGTATTCATCAATAATCTTCAGTCTATACATATCTTAATTAATTTGACATTCCATCTTTTAGACAATAAGTTTAATAAGTTTTTCTTAACTTTAATTTCACATTGATATTTAAATTTAACATTTAATCTTTTATCATTTCTGGATTTTAAATGATCCCAATTTCTCAGTCTCCAATCTCATATTTAGGGCTAATAATTTTTCTCTTTTTCTCTTTCTACTTCCTTCCTTTCCAGAAAGAGAGAAAAAAAAGTATAAGTTTTATTTAACCTGTGTCTCAACTCATGACAATATCTTAAATTCAAGTCTTAGTTATCTGTAAACTTTCAAACTTTTAACAAATCAGTGACCTGTTGATTAATTTTCCCTTAATATTTTAATTTAATGTTTAATATTTGTTTTTTTTTCAAATTTTAATTAAGCACAATTCCTTTATCACAATTCCTCATATAATCTAATATTTAAAATACAAACCTTATATGTAAATTCTACATATATCTTAACAAACTAATAAGACAATATAACATTCTTATTTCGATATTTATATTTCTAGATTTTATAAAACCAATTTTTTATCTCAAATCATTACAATATCTTATGTTCAAAATACATATTCTATCCATTTATATATATTCTAGTTTAGATCTCATGTATAGATCAAAACCCCAATCCCTTTCAGTCTTATTCTAGCTTTTTTCCTCTGCCAAATCATCTTTCCTATCTTCGCTTTTAAATCATCAAAAAGATCTCCTTGTACTGTTGTGACTATTGTTTGATATTGATAAGGGCGTTCAGTTGCTATTTTGTTAAGAGGGCTAGCTGATTTAGCAGGTCTTCTTTTTGTTTTTCCAGTTCGATGCAGTTGTCCCAAAGTATTTATCTTCTCTTTCATCTGTTTTTCTTTTTTATCTTCAAATTCCTTCTGGTTTATAAGAAAAGTCTTTTCCTTGTTCTCTATTATCAGTTTCCTTTTTGTGTTTTCCACTGTTTGTATTTATTGAGTATCTAAGGCTTCTGTCATAGCATTTGGTTGTTTCCCTTTCTCTATAGAATTCTGTATAGATGATTCTTTAGTTGAAGTCATAGTTTGAGCTTGCATATGGAGAGTTTGGATAATTGCTTTTAACATATAAAGAATTTGTTTCTGTATTTCCTCTGTGGGAGAAATCCACTCCTGTTCTTCTTCCATTGTAGTGTATTAAACTAAACAAAAAAACTACAATCAGAAAGTCCACCAAGTAAAGAGATGAGCTGAGTTTCTTGCAGATGGTGCTTCAAGGTTGCTTTATATCTTATCTATTTTCAAGCCTTTCAACAAATCTCTCTTAAAGAATAGCAGGTTACAGTCTCAAATTTAGCCAGCAAATGTCATCTCAGAATTAATTAGATCTTTTCAGTTTTCTTTTCCCCCTCTATTTTAAGGGGGAGAAAAAGAACCCAAATCTTCAATAATAATAGAGTAAAAATCAGAGAAGAAAAAAAAAATAGAAAGTAGAAAGTTACAAGTCTTATAATCCACCAGTTTTAGAAAATAGAATTCCAATTAGGATCCCAGTATTTTCCCAACGTTTTAAACTCCCGAGTGGTTGATAGCTGCTATTTCTGGAGGGAAGACTAAAATCCCCCTTCCCTCACCACAGGGGGGAAAGTACTTTAGCAGCTTATGCAGGTAATTAAGTAATTAGGATGTAAGAGAGGCAGATCTCACCCAATCCTTTCCACGCTGTTTTGAAGTTGTCAGATGTTAATGTGACTTTAGTTGTTAGCAGCCTAGGGACGAACCATATTTCTATGGCCGGTCCTTTTGTCTACTGGTTTGGAGGAATTGTCAGCTCTAACAGGAGAGTTGCTGCTCTTCTGCGATCCAGCAAAAGCCCCTCCATGCGGGTCGCCTCTTCAGGGCAATTTTTGGCCCTTTTCAGGGCCCCCCAGCAATGCGAAACTGAACAGGGGAGAGAGAACAGATCTCCCAGCTGTCAATGATGGCTGCATGACGAAACCGGAAGCCCAAATAGTTATAAACTTTCTCATCCTTATTTAGCAGGTATTTCAGATGAGAAGGTCTCTATCTAATAATTGAATCGACTCAACATCTAATGTATATAAAAAGTGAAGTTAAAAAAAAACACTACAGGGTGAACATTTTTTACACTTGTTTTTGCAAGATACGGTCTTCTTCAACTGCAATAGACAGATGTGCTTTTAATGTCTAATATTTCCATAGACTTGCAACTGGTTTGCACTTCCCATCTTTTTGGGTGGCTTCTTAACTTAAGTTTTTGTTTCCCCGAGTGTTTGCAGATGAAATGATGGTGTGTCCTTCTGTGTATTTTTGCCTTGTTATCTGCAGATAAGAAAAAGGGCAGTAGATTTCAGCCCTTCAAAAAGTTTTTTGGAAGGAGAAAAAAACGGGAGGCCACGCCAGATCGCGAGACCACCAAGTTGAAGGCAAGCAGTTCCTTTGGAAATGTCTGTAACGGGGCGCTGTCTTCTGATGAAGAGACCAACAATGGCTTGAGGTAATGAAATTTCGGCATGTTGCCATTGCTGAATCTAATCCAGGGGTAGGCAACATTGGCTCTTTTATGACTCGTGGACTTCAACTTGTGGACCAACTCCCAGAATTCCTGAGCCAGCTGGGAGTTGAAGTCCACGAGTCATAAAAGAGCCAAGGTTGCCTACCCCTGATCTAATCCATTGCCTTGAGGCAAAGCCAGGAGAAGTGAGTCTATGGAGTTTCTTAATCATCCAGGTCATGGTTGTCCCAAAGTTGCTTTTTCGAAAAGCAGCTGGTCTTCGTTTTTCCTTGAAGATGTTTCGCGCCTCCTCCAAGAATCTTCCAAGACCAAGAGAGGTGTAGTAGTTAAAATTGTGAAAATCTCATGTGAATGAAATCTAACCTTTTATTAAGGGACTATAATATGGAACTGTTGTGTTGTGGAGACATTTCTGATACACGTATATGGTATTACTTCAAAACACTTCTTTTGAAGGAACAAATTCTGTGATTTGTTCACCAAAGAAAATAATTTCAAGGTAATAATTTTGGTATCTTCATCTATCAGACTGTGCTCAGTACATAATAAAAAACAAGCTAGATTGCAATGTCATAAGTACAGCACTGTCTGGGTTGAGACAACTGTGGATTGAAGATAATTGGCCCCGGGGCCTTTCTGTCTGTCTTTCAAGGGAAAAGACCATATAAAAATGGAAGGACTGACTAGCCTGTTCCTTCTTCTTGCTATAGGAAATTTCAGCTGAGGCTCTTCCCTAAAAACTGTGCCTATTTCAAGGAAATCTGTGTTTGCTACCGATTAGCATTAGAGGACATTCTCCTTTCTCAACGTGTGTAATACACTCCTCATAGATTATTTCAGACATTCAACTGGTAGTCATCCTACAATCAGATAATAAGAGAAAGAGAACAAGAGAAAGTAATAAGATAATAAGAGAAAGGTACGGAAGCATAATCAGAATAATAGAATAACAGAATTGGAAGGGACCTGGGAGGTATTCTAGTCCAGCCCCTGATCAGACAGAAAATCCTATACCAGTGGTGGCAAACCTATGGCACGGGTGCCAGAGGTGACACTCAGAGCCCTCTCTGTGGGCACGCATGCCATCGCCCCAGTCCTAGGCCTTCAACTGGGTTTTATAAAACCTTTTCGCTTTAGGCCTCTGCCGCCGTGTGCAAAAAAAAAAAAAAGGTTTGTTTATTTATTTATTTATTTATGAGACTTATATACCGCTTTAAGTGCAAGCACTCTCTAAGCGGTGTACACCAGTAAGCAATGTATATATATATTTACATTGCCCCCAACAATCTGGGTCCTCATTTTACCTACCCCGGAAGGATGGAAGGCTGAGTCAACCTTGAGCCGGTGAGATTTGAACTGCTGACCTGCTGAACACAGTCAGCTAAAGTGGCCTGCAGTACTGCACTCTAACTTCTGTGCCACCTTGGCTTCAATTTCAACTTCTCGCGGGGGAAAAAAAAGATCTTGCAGAGTTGGAATTGATTGATTGAACTTTTTAGTCCCACCCAGTCTGCCATTACCACCACAGCCACGCCCACCCAATGGGCCACACCCACCCAATGGGCCACACCCACCTGGCACCCGACGATGCATAAGTGGGTTTTGGGTTGCAGTAAAAGGTTTGCCATCACTGCCCTATACCATTTCAGACAAATGGTTGTCCAGTGTCTTCCAGTTGTGACACCCACAACTTCTAGAGGCAAGTCGTTCCACTGATTAATTGTTCTCACTGTCAGGAAGTTTCTCTTTAGTTCTAGGTTGCTTCTCTCCTGGATTAGTTTCCATCCATTGCTTCTTGCTGCCTTCAGGCGCTTTAGAGAATAGCTTGACCCCCTTCTTCTTTGTAGCAGCCCCTTAGATACTGGAACAATCAGGAGAAGGGTATCTGAATCCTGTAATCTCAGAAAGAATATGCTCATGTGTTGATTCTCCTGAAGTCAGTCAAATCTCTTGTTTGTAAGAAATTGCTATAATTGTATCATTATCTACTATATCCCTTAAAGTAAATTCGTATGGTGCAACTATTTATGCCAGTGGTTCTCAACCTGTTGGTCGGGACCCCATTTGGGGTCGAACGACCATTTCACGGGGGTCGCCAAACAACACAGTCCGCCATTTTTCCCCCCTTTTCCTTAGCTGTGCTACTCCCTTTTATTCTATTGGCTTTTGAAAGCCAATAAAATAGACTCTCTTGAATAGAGTCTAATTCTATTGGCTTTCAAAAGCCAATAGGAATTGTCCAGGCTGTCTTTGCCCTGCTGAGCCCGCCAAAAGTCCCATTCTGCAAACGGTGCTGCACCAGTTGAGTAGTCCTCGACTTACGACCGGTTGAGTAGTCCTCGACTTACGACCGGTTGGGGGTTGCAGCATTAAAAAGGTTGAGAACCACTGATTTATGCAGACCACTTAGTTACTGTAAGTTGCTCCAGTATAGAGGCAGTTATTTGATAAAATACAGAAATACCAACCAAAGGACTAAAAAAAATCTGATTTATGAGACCACAATTCTATGTTAAATTTCTAATAACATTCTACTGTTAATTTGTCCTTGGATGTGATAATCGCTGTGGTCTAAGGAGTAACTCACATGTATCCTGGCAACAGTTGTCATAGCATTACCATGCCATTTAAGGGCTATTGAGCACATAGTGGGAGCTTGCTCCAAGCATATATTTGCTCAAACTTGTTTTTTTTTTCTTTTTTGATGATTGTTCTAAAATATGACAGGATGCCTAATAATCCCAACTTATTTTTATTTTTGACTGGTAATCTTCAGAAAGCGTCAATATTAAGGTGTACAGGTTCAAGGGAGTTTTGGAAGCAGGGTCACCCATAACATTATTCATCTTTTACATTTTCTCCTGTTTCGTTGTGCATGCTTCAATATGGGAGTGGGAGGCAGATTCCTGCACTCTAAAAATAGGTGATAACAACTTGATCTTTTTGGAATGATCGTGTTCTTAGAATTGTGCAAAGCACAGTAGGACCATAGCACAGTTATATTGCCATATTTGGAATTCTGTTTCTAATGTAGATTCAGTTCAATTCAAAATAGAGCTGGAAGGGACCTTAGAGCAGTGGTTCTCAACCTTTTTAATGCCGCGATCCCCCCCCCCAACTGGTCGTAAGTCGAGGACTACTCAACCGGTTGTAAGTCGAGGACTACTCAACTGGTGCAGCACCGTTTGCAGAATGGGACTTTTGGCGGGCTCAGCAGGGCAGAGACAGCCTGGACAACTCCTATTGGCTTTTGAAAGTTCATCAAGAATTAGACTCTATTCAAGAGAATCTATTCTATTGGCTTTCAAAAGCCAATAGAATAAAAGGGAGTAGCACAGCTAAGGAAAAGGGGGAAAAAAATGGCGGACTGCGTTGTTTGGCGGCCCCCGTGAAATGGTCGTTCGACCCCAAATGGGGTCCCGACCCACAGGTTGAGAACCACTGCCTTAGAGGTTTTCTAGTCCAACCCCCAGCTCAAGCAGGAGACCCCATACCATTTCAGACAAGTGACTGTCCAGGCTCTTCTTAAAAACCTCCAGTGATGAAGCACCCACCACTTCGGAAAGCAAGCTGTTCCACCGGTCCATGTCACGAACAGATCCGTATCATGAAAAGTTCAACATCATAAAGATGCCTAGAAAAGAAAAGAGACAAAAGACGACGAATTGCAATAGAGCTACTCATAAAGCAAGCTGTAATCCTTCAGTGAATTTGGTATTAAAAAATCCAAAGAATTATGGTCACCAGGACTAGTATGTAGTTGCAGCAAACCTGGTGTCACCATCTTTGTAGACCAGTCTTTCTAAACCAGGGCTTTTCAACCTTTTCACCCATTGTACCACTTTTAGGATATGGCAACATCCAAGTACCACTAGTTGCCTAACAAGGTGTCAAAAACCTGATGACCCCCCCCCCAAAAAGGAAAAAAGTGATAAAGTACAGGAAGTCCTCGACTTACAGCAGTTCGCTTAGTGACTGTTCGAAGTTACAATGGCACTGAAAAAAGTGCCCCCCAAGCCACAGCCGAGCAAGATGCCTGCCTGCCCGCCCGGTAGTGCTCTTCCTCCTGTCCGAGGTTTTCATTGTTGTGAGCATTTCTGTTGAGGATTGGCAGCAGGGGTGGGGTGGGGGGGTGTTGGGTTTTTATTTCCCCCATCTGCTGGGTGGTTGCAGCAGGTTTTGGTCACTTCACATGACCCTGGGACACTGTGACCGTTATAAATATGAATCAGTTGCCAAGCATCTGAATGTAAATCACAAGACCCTGGAGACGCTGCAACATTCCAGATGATCGGCGCTTTTTCTGGGCTCAGCAGAAGCACCAGGATCAGCGCTGAGCTCCAGCTGGAGCCTGGCACTGATCTGGCGCTTCCGCTCAGCCCTGACAGCCCTGCAGCTCCAGCCATCTCTCGCTCAGGCTTGTGCGGTGCTGCCACCGGTTCAGCTCATTCCCCTCCCCAGCTACCACTTTTCTAGGATGGCCGCGTACCACCTGCCAGGTGCCGGTGTACCATAGGTGGTACCCATACCCAAGCCTTGTTCTAAACCACATCCAATTTTAAATGTATGGATTTCAAATAACCATAATTCCCCACCCATCAGGAGGAAAGATAATGAAACGCTATTGCCCATACAGAAATTGATAGTCTATGGACCCTATTTCTGGTAAGTACAGGTACTCCTCAACTTATAACAGTTCATTTAGTGACTGTTCAGAGTTACAGTGGTGCTGATAATAGGGACTTTCGACTGTTTTTCACACTTACTATCATTGCAGCATCCCCGTGGTCACGTCATCAAAATTCATATGCTTGGCCTCTGATTCATATTTATGACCACTGCAGTGTCCTGGGGTCATGTGATCTCCTTTTGCGACCTTCTGACAAGCAAAGTCAGTGGGGAAACCAGATCTGCTTAACAACCATGTTACTAAATGAACAAATGCAGTGGTTCACTTAACAATTGTGACAAGAAGGGTTGTAAAATGGAGCACAATTCACTTAACTCAGTGGTTCCCAACCTTTTTAATGCCGCGACCCCCAACCGGTCGTAAGTCGAGGACTACTCAACTGGTCGTAAGTCGAGGACTACTCAACCGGTCGTAAGTTGAGGACTACTCAACTGGTGCAGCGCCGTTTGCAGAATGGGACTTTTGGCGGGCTCAGCAGGGCAGAGACAGCCTGGACAATTCCTACTGGCTTTTGAAAGCCAATAGAATTAGACTCTATTCAAGAGAGTCTATTCTATTGGCTTTCAAAAGCCAATAGAATAAAAGGGAGTAGCACAGCTAAGGAAAAGGGGGGAAAAAATGGTGGACTGCGTTGTTTGGCGACCCCCGTGAAATGGTCGTTCGACCCCAAATGGGGTCCCGACCCACAGGTTGAGAACCACTGACTTAACTAATGTTTCACTTAGCAATAGAAGTGTTGTGCTCTGTTGTGGTGGTAAGTCAAGGACTACCTGTAGCCACCCTCATAAGGAATTGTCAACGATGATGAAGCTATAGTCCAGAGGGGGCCACAGGTTTGGTTTGCCTCTAAAGCCAGATAATGCCTTTTTTGAATAATCTGGTTCTACAGAGCTGTTCCTTGTCGTATTCACTGAATGTTCTTGTGGCGAATGTTTAAGCCAAAGGTGCTGAGTCTTTTTTCAAGTCAAGAACCGTATTTGGCTTTTAGGTTGCGCGTGAGCAACTGCAGTTGCAAGCATGAAAGCGACAGCAGCCAAGAAATGGGCAGGGACAAGGCCAAATTAAAATGTGACTGAACTTAATCTGTTTTAAATACAATGTAAGTTGAATGAAATTCATGGCGTACGGTTATCAGAGTTGGTCCCCATGGACTAAGACATTTTTCTTTTGTACTTTGGCCACCTAATAAGAAGGAAGGACTCACTGGAGAAGGGCCTAATGCTGGGAAAGATTGAGGGCAATAGAAGAAGGGGACGACAGAGAATGAGATGGCTGGATGGAGTCACTGAAGCAGTAGGCATGAGCTTAAATGGACTCCAGAAGATGGGAGAGGACAGGAAGGCCTGGAGGAACGTTGTCCATGGGGTCGCGATGGGTCAGACACGACTTCGCAATTAACAACAACAACAATACAAATTATTTTGATAGCAACTTGTGTGGGAGTTCTGGCATTTGGGTACAGTGCATAGCCATTATGTAAGCAATGAAAGTAAAGGTGTAGTAAATCCATTCCTCTGAAAAAAAAATGTATTATATATTCAGAGATATTGAAAAATGGCCTGCTAGCAGAAAAAAGAAAGTCCAGCAGTAGCCCACTGTGTTGGTAATTTAGGGTATACCTAAAATCTTGTGTATCCAAATTGTCTTTCAGGTCTCCCAGTTATAGCATGGGAACACGGGCCTTTTCCCATGAGAGTATTTTTATGCCTGATGGGCGAGCAGAGAGCGAAGAGTCAATTCAAGCAATGTCACAAGATAATCTCGTTGGCAAAGTCAAAACTCTTCAGGTAACAAGGAGCAAACGTTGGGCTTCCATGTAAGAGTTTAAATTCATCTGCTTTCTGATTGTATCATCCCATAATCTAGTAAAGACTCTAGAACAGCGGTCTCCAAACGTTCCCCAGCATGGCTGGCTGGGGAATTCTGGGAGTTGAAGTCCACAAGTTGCCTAGTTTGGAGATCCATGCTCTCGAGTTGGAAAGGAGGAAAGAAGTGAAACCATAGCCACACGGTGTCCTACCAACCGAAGGGAATATTTGCAGCTCAGGATTGAACTGTGGGGTTCTTGGTGCTCTCTGAGCTTGGTTGTGTGGTTATATGCTCTATGTCACGGGTAGGCAACCTTGGCTCTTTTATGACTCGTGGACTTCAACTCCCAGAATTCCCCAGCTAGCCACGCTGAGGGGAAAGGGAGAGGTTTCCAAGCTGAGCCATGCTGGCTCAGGAATTCTGGGAGTTGAAGTCCACCAGTCATAAAGCGGCCTAGGCCAGAGGTAGGCAACTTTGGCTCTTTTATGACACGTGGACTTCAACTCCCAGAATTCCTGAGCCAGCCATGCTGAGGGGAAAGGGAGAGGTTTACAAGCTGAGCCATGCCGGCTCAGGAATTCTGGGAGTTGAAGTCCACGAGTCATAAAAGAGCCAAGGTTGCCTCCCCCTGCTCTATGTCTTTGAGCATTTCCTATTATTTCTTGATGTGGTTCAACTCCTAAGCCAGTTTTTAAAAAGCCTGTCTGGATAGAGACACTTGAGCACAGTATTAATTAAGTATGAATTCGAAACAGCTGGCTACCATGTCTTCCCTAAGACAATTTCCCCTGTCAATTGTTTTCTTTTTTGTGGGTGGAACTTTCTGTGTATTTGTGCGTATTTGTGGATATACATATTTATATAAAAGTGCATGTGCACATCACCCAGTCGTGTCAGACCTGCCGGCACTAAAACCTCTAAATAGAAATGACCGTTGGCTCCATTTGTTGAGAAAAGTATAATTTTATTAGAAGTCAAGTGTAGTGCAGTAATGCATAGCCAGAATTGAGAATCCTGCACCCAAATCCCTAAGTCCAACTTTTCCCTCTTTTAACTGCCTCCCATTGCTGAACCCCCTCCCCTCCATGGCCAATCAAGTTCAAGTAAGACAAGACAAGACAAGATGTTTTCAGAATGGACACCTCAAGCATAGGTTGGTATGCAGCTGACTTCTTCTTCTCCCAATTGGGTGACCTTGAAGCAGCCTCTTGGGAAGATACAGCAGTTACTTTCGCTTTCCACCATGCCATTCCCCCTGCCATGCACTCTCCCCGGAGTTCATGGTAGACTGCCACCGCGTGGTAGTGAAGCACGCAAGCAAGCGTAAGGTGGCAGCTGACCCAGTCAGCCATGCATCCCTCCACATCATTCACCAAGTTAAATCATCAAACTGTGTGTATGTGGAAGGACAGCAACCAACTTTAAAATGAAAAAAATCCCCTTTTTAGTGCTTTGCTGGTCTCTGTTATATTTTATCTAGAGCCATCTTTGTTAGAACTAGTATTCCAGTGCTGTGTCGATAATGATTGACTTCCAAATAAAAGGTTGCCGGTTTGAAACCCTGCAGAAACTTTCTATTATTATTACTTTTCTTTCTCTGAACTACCTATTTTTTCATGGGCTTCTTTTTAAATAAGAACAATAGTGCACCATGCCATCCTTTCCCCAGGCAGTTAGAGGAAAAGATTTTATTCTCTGTGGGAGATTAAACTTTTTTAACCCAAGTGACTAGAGACTCAAGGAACTGGATAAAAGATTGTGCATCTCTGGACTTACTTAAAAAAAAAAAGCTCCAGGTAAAAAAGTAAATATTTCAGGCAAAGAAAAACAGTGATTAAAAAAAAAGTTTACACCAGGTTTGAAACCAGCAACTTTCTATTTAACAAATCAACTATTAACCAATCATTGTGCTATTTTAGCATTTGCAATAACTGCTAGGATTAGTTTGTAGTTAAATAAAATGTACCAGCTAAAGCGGACAAGAGCAGTAACATAAGGACATAAGGAGAAAAAAAGAGAATATTTTAAAACTACAATAGGAAAACCTGCTAAAAGATCACCACTGCAATGGGAAAGGGTTGAATACAATATATTGTCTGTTCCTACCCTGAAAAAGTTATTGCTGGCCAAATTCTGGGGATGGAGCAACTGGACAAGATGGATAAGTCCTGAATTGATTTGTTGGTCTTACTTCTGCTGTTGTTTATCTCCAGCCAACAGCTACCATTCACCTGCCTCTTTTTCCAACATAGGATGTCTTGGTGAATGTTGCTCCCAGCTTTAGGGCTCAAGTTCTCTATGAAAATAGCAAGACTTGGGTTTGCTACTGAAGAAGAAAATTAGAAGGATCAAGACGACATATTGTTCCATTTTTGACCCATATGTGATGACCCAGGGCACAGCGCAGAGGCAATGCAGTCAACTGGCAATTCAAACCTCCCTTTAATTGCTCCAAATTTTCCCCAAATGCTCCCACGTTTCTAGCAAGCCTCCAAACAAAGGAAGACACACACATGTCTGGCTGCAAGTAGTTTCACATACAGTCTGATTAGGAGAGGATTTTACTCAAGGCCACGGAGATAAGGAAGAATGACACATACATCATAAACCGAGTCTGTGTGAATACATGGTTGCCTGAGCAGTCTCAGAAGGGAAGCCAAAATACAGTTGAGTTCTTTAAGCATCCAAGCAACGTTGTCAGCCAGTCCAATGGTCAGAGTTTCCGGGTTTCCAAGCAGAAGTCACAGAACAAGAGTTCCAACAACACACACAAAACTCCAAGGAATCAGCGTTTGTTCCCGACAAATGCCTCCCCCACAGCGTCTTCTTAAATCTTAGTCTCCAGGTGTGCTTTGTGGAGAGGGGCGGGATGCTCTCCTCCCTTGTAGTTGAGTTTGCCTGCGTTGTTCCCTCCTTCTCTCCACTCTCTGTGCTCTAGGATCAGGAGGGGTGCCCCTTGCTCATCGCCTGAACTCTGTCTCTCCTGTTCCTCCTGTCCCACTCCTGAAGGGCCCTGGCCTGCCTTGGCCTGCTCTTCCCCACATTCCTCTGAAGCCACAGACACCTCTCCCTCAACCTCCATAGGGTCCCGTTCCAGCTCATTTTCCTCCGCAGACGGAGGCATGATACCATAGTTCATCAAGAATAAAATATCTATGTAGGGCAGAGGGAGGAATCTAACCACCAGACTGCAATAACACAAGCGAGCAGTCAGATGAAGAGACCCAAACTCATTGGTAGCCTCACCTTGCAATAAACAAGGACATACATTCAATTTTGCAGCTACTAAGATTGTTGGACAAGCAGGCACAAAAACAGCCAGGGAAGTGAAGCCTGGGAAATGGATCCCTCATCAATCAACAGGAGTGCTGATTTACCCCCAATTTACCAAGTTCTTAGGAGGTGAGGGCCAGGGTAGCACAAGGAAACAACAGCCAATGGCTTAATAGCCAGCCATCAACACCCCAATCTACATCTAAAACAGTGGTTCTCAACCTTTCTAATGCCGCGACCCCATAATACAGTTCCCCATGTTGTGGTGACCCCCAACCACTTATACATCACCGGGTGCCAGGGGCGTGGCCAAAGAAAAGGGGAAAAAAATGGCGGACAGCTTTGTTTGGCGACCCCCGTGAAATGGTCGTTCGACCCCAAATGGGGTCCCGACCCACAGGTTGAGAACCACTGATCTAAAAAGTCACACACAACAGGCACCATATAGATACCACACGCAGAATAGCCCAAAGCACACACTCTGCCAGAGAGACGTTTCCTGAGGATGGGCTCTAGAATGAGTCTGAAAACTTGGAAGGCCCAGATTGGATCCTGCAGAATACATAGCCCATATAGTTCATCAAGACAACACACCTGGATGTGGAATTTCTGAGGGAATATGAATGAATGGAGGAAGGAGGAAGGCAAACTAAGAGAAACACAATAGTCAATCATATCATCTCAGTCCTCCACAATGGTGCTGCTCGGTAGAGAGAAACGTAGTTGACGAGTGGGTAGGCAGATTTAAGAAGTAAATAATTGAAATCATGAAAACAAATAACACGTCTCACCAAGCTTGCATACTTTCTGGGTATGTGCAACAGATAATGGTGCCCAACCCTTGAGAGAGACTGAAAAGGAATTTCATCTTCAGAATTCTCTCCATTTTTCAAGTCTCTCCTGTAATTTTACGCTTCAGTACCGTATATGCCGGCGTACAAGGCGACCCAGCGTATAAGACGACCCCCGTCTTTGTCGCCGAGTCGCATTCCTAGAACGTCTTATACGCCAGAAACTACCAGTATTTCCGGCGTATAAGACGACTCGGTGTATAAGATGACCCCCGTCTTTGGCGCCGATTTTAACGCTTGCGGAAGTCGCCTTATACGCCGGCATTTATGGTACTTTAAGAAAAAAATAAATAGAACTTTTTTGGGGGGAGTAAATCTGCCAGCCATATGGAAGTTTTGCTCTGCCTGAATAAGCTCCTAATTTTTCCCCTGCTGACAGAAAACACTTCTTCCCGTTGTCGTCCAGAGGATTTTTAAATGATTCTGTCCTTCTCAATCAGAAATTTCAGTAAGCAAAACATATGGCTACTATAGGACTAAGAGGCGATCGAGGATTTAAATCTTGATTAGATCAGGTTTGAATAATTAACCACCAAATGAAGCAAAGAAAGAAAAGTTTCAATAATATGCTTGAAAGACGTATCTTACTGTTGCAGTGCGTGAAGGGCATATGAATGGAAAACAGGAAGCATATGTGTCAATCTTGATTATCCGAGGTATTTATACTGTAATGACATTGGGGGAATTTATAGGTATTTTAAAAGGACGTTTTAATGTATTCCTTAAATCAGTGGTTCTCAACCTTTCTAATGCCGCGACCCCATAATACAATTCCCCATGTTGTGGTGACCCCCAACCACTTATACATCACCGGGTGCCAGGGGCGTGGCCAAAGAAAAGGGGGAAAAATGGCA